ACTGATAGGCAGCACTAAAGGGCACTGATAGGCAGTACTAATGAGGTGGCATGGATAGGCGGCACTGATAGACAGCACTAATGAGGTGTCACGGATAGGCGGCACTAATATGCAGCACTGATAGACGGCACTGATAGGTGGTACTGATAGACTGCACTGACTGGCGTCACTGCTGGGCACTGACTGGCGGCACTGACTGGCACAACCCCTGGGCACTGACTGGCAGCACTGCTGGGCTGCACTGGTGGGTGGCACTGGTGGGCAGCACTGGTGGGTGGGCACAGGTGGGTGGCACTGGTGGGCACAGGTGGGTGGGCACAGGTGGGTGGCACTGCTGGGCACAGGTGGGTGGCACTTCTGGGCACAGGTGTGTGACACTGCAGAGTGGCACAGGTGGGTGCACTGCTGGGCACAACCTTATTTATTTTTTTAATTTTCAAAGTAAAGTAGTTGGAAAGCCAACATTTTACAGTTGTGACCAGGGCCGGATCTAGCCTGTCTAATGTGAGGGTTCAGTAAAAAATGTCAGGGGAGCAGAGGATGGAAGGTCAGCAGGGCAGCGTACAGGAGGTCAGCAGGGTGGAGGAAAGGGGTCAGTAGTAAGTGGTGCAGAGGACAGATTTTGCCTTACAGTGGATCATTTTTAAAAATGTAAATGTTTCCATCACATATGCACACTACACACTAAAAGTGATCACTTTGTCTGCCTGAACGGACCTTAAGGAAGAATTTCATTAAAACAAGCAATTGTTGGGACAATGAACATTATAATTAGGACTATGTAATGTACATCACAGTGTATATAGTGCATGGGTCAGGAGTAAGTAACATAAAAACATGTAGAATGCAGTGTCAGGACAAGCCCACATATTTACATCAGATTCCCCCCTTACACCAAGAATCCCTCTCAGAGTCCACCCCCCCCCCCCCCTTACATCAGGGTCCCCAGAGTCACCCCTCCCCCTTACATTGGGGTCCCCAGAGTCACCCCTCCCCCTAACATCAGGGTCCCCAGAGTAACCCCCCCCCCCCCCTCCCCCAACATCAGACTCACCCCCCTCCCCCAACATCAGGGTCCCCAGAGTCACCCCCCTCCCCCAACATCAGGGTCCCCAGAGTCACCCCCCTCCCCCAACATCAGGGTCCCCAGAGTCACCCCCCTCCCCCAACATCAGGGTCCCCAGAGTCACCCCCCCTCCCCCAACATCAGGGTCCCCAGAGTCACCCCCCCTCCCCCAACATCAGGGTCCCCAGAGTCACCCCCCCTCCCCCAACATCAGGGTCCCCAGAGTCGCCCCCCTCCAACATCAGGGTCCCCAGAATCACCCCCCCCCAACATCAGGGTCCTTAGAACCACCCAACTTACATCAGGATCCCCAGAGTCACAACCCTAACATCAGGATCCCCAGAGTCACCCCCCTATGTCAAGGTTCCTAGAGAGACAACCTCTCTTACACCAGGGTCCCCAGAGCCCCCCTCCTTACATCAGGGTCCCTAGAGTCACTCCCTTAAAGGAGAGTCCCCAGAGTTTTGCTATTTACATCATGGTACCATGAGCCCCTCTTGAATTATAGGCAACAAGAATGAAAGATAAAATGAAGGGGATGCTTCTAAAGCTGTCCAAAGATGAATCAGCCGAATGTCAATTTATCTTTGGGCAGGCTGGTTGTACTGAATTTGATCCATCAATCAATTCTGTGGGGTTTTGTTCGTACGATTACTGCCACCAGCTATAGCTGGTAGTCGTATTCTGAGAGCGGGGAAACCTCCTGCTGTCAGTAGCGCAGCAAAACAGATTCCCCCAACAACACTGAATGTGTTGATAGGAAAATCAAGCTATTTTCTTTGCTTCAACTCCTGCTTGAAGGAAAGAAAATTGCTTAATGTATGGCCAGCCTAATCCTGTGAGTGGCCAAGCAAACGCACAGAAATAAAGGGTTAAATCAAAGTGAAGCTTCCCATCTGATTAAGAGAATTTTCATTGCACACTCCAGCTCAGCTTTATTTATTGCCCGGCTGACTGTCAGTGTGCAGTGATCGTGCTGCATAAAGATCAAGATACAGTCTGCCCAACAGTAAATAAAGCTGCATGTAATGAAATGTCTGTGATCAGAAGATTAACTTTAATTCAGCACTTTATTATGTGCGTTTGTCTTCAGAAGAGAGAGAAGGGAGCTGCTGGAGCTCTGTGTGTCAAGTGGTGGGGCAGAGTATCCGGGGGTGGAGACGGGAGAGGACTCTTGGCTTTGGGGGGCGGGCACAACTGGAATCTGGGGGGCGTAGCCCCCCCCCTGCACCCCCCTAGATCTGGCCATGACTGTCACCAGAACAAGGGGTGAGGGGAACATTTCTAATGAGGTCTCCATCTCTTCCGGTAACTAATGTCTAGAGGAATTTCCCTATTTTTGTAGAGATTCCCTCTTCCTTTTTTGTCTCTGTTACAGGAAATGAAGGAATTTTCCTTCATGTGACACAGACAGCAAAAATAAAACTGACAGTGATTTGAACATTTTCCTTCTTTACCCAACACTAAAAAACTAAAGGTTTGGCTACACAGTACAGTAAACTGACCACTGGTTGCTATGAATTTTTACTCCTTGTACATGATCTGCTCTTTGTACATGATATTACTCCTTGTACATGATCTGCTGCTTGTACATGATTTGACTCCCTGTACATGATCTGCTCCTTGTACTTGATTTTACTCCTTGTACTTGATTTTACTCCTTGTACATGATTTTACTCCTTGTACGTGATCTGCTCCTTGTACATGATTTTACTCCCTGTACATCATCTGCTCCTTGTACATGATTTTACTCCTTGTACTTGATTTTACTCCTTGTACATGATCTGCTCCTTGTACATGTTTTTACTCCTTGTACATGATCTGCTGCTTGTACATGATTTTACTCCTTGTACATGATCTGCTGCTTGTACATGATTTAATCCTTGTACATGATCTGCTCCTTGTACATGATTTTACGCCTTGTACATGATCTGCTCCTTGTACATGATTTTACGCCTTGTACATGATCTGCTGCTTGTACATGATTTTAGGCCTTGTACATGATCTGCTCCTTCTACATGATTTTACTCCTTGTACATGATCTGCTCCTTGTACATGATTTTACGCCTTGTACATGATCTGCTGCTTGTACATGATTTTACTCCTTGTACATGATCTGCTCCTTGTACATGATTTTACTCCTTGTACATGATTTTACTTCTTGTACATGATCTGCTCCTTGTACATGATTTTACACCTTGTACATGATCTGCTCCTTGTACATCATTTTACTCCTTGTACATCATTTTACTCCTTGTACATGATTTTACTCCTTGTACATGATCTGCTGCTTGTACATGATTTTACTCCTTGTACATGATCTGCTGCTTGTACATGATTTTACTCCTTGTACATGATCTGCTGCTTGTACATGATTTTACTCCTTGTACATGATCTGCTCCTTGTACATGATTTTACGCCTTGTACATGATCTGCTGCTTGTACATAATTTTAGTCCTTGTACATGATTTTACTCCTTGTACATGATTTTACTCCTTGTACATGATTTTACGCCTTGTACATGATTTTACGCCTTGTACATGATCTGCTCCTTGTACATGATTTTACGCCTTGTACATGATCTGCTCCTTGTACATGATTTTACGCCTTGTACATGATCTGCTGCTTGCTTGTACATGATTTTACGCCTTGTACATGATCTGCTGCTTGTACATGATTTTACGCCTTGTACATGATCTGCTCCTTGTACATGATCTGCTCCTTGTACATGATTTTACTGCTCCTTGTACATGATCTGCTCCTTGTACATGATTTTACTCCTTGTACATGATCTGCTGCCTTGTACATGATTTTACACCTTGTACATGATCTGCTCTTTGTACATGATCTGCTCCTTGTACATGATTTTACGCCTTGTACATGATCTGCTGCTTGTACATGATTTTACTCCTTGTACATGATCTGCTCCTTGTACATGATTTTACTCCTTGTACATGATTTTACGCCTTGTACATGATCTGCTCCTTGTACATGATTTTACGCCTTGTACATGATCTGCTGCTTGTATATGATCTGCTCCTTGTACATGATTTTACTCCTTGTACATGACCTGCTCCTTGTACATGATTTTACTCCTTGTACATGATTCTGCTCCTTGTACATGATTTTACGCCTTGTACATGATCTGCTGCTTGTACATGATTTTACTCCTTGTACATGATTTGCTCCTTGTACATGATTTTACTCCTTGTACATGATTTTACTCCTTGTACATGATTTTACTCCTTGTACATGATTTTACTCCTTGTACATGATCTGCTCCTTGTACATGATTTTACGCCTTGTACATGATCTGCTCCTTGTACATGATTTTACGCCTTGTACATGATCTGCTCCTTGTACATGATTTTACGCCTTGTACATTATCTGCTCTTTGTACATGATCTGCTCCTTGTACATCATTTTACTCCTTGTACATGATCTGCTGCTTGTACATCATTTTACTCCTTGTACATGATCTGCTGCTTGTACATCATTTTACGCCTTGTACATGATCTGCTCTCTTGCTTATCCTAGCCTTTCTGCATCTTAAGATACTTTTTGCAGTGTTTGTTCTTTTATTATTTTCTCAGTAACAAGAGGCCCAGTTGAAAGGCTGACATTTAAACCACAGAAAATTTACAAATATAAAACCTAAACAAGGCCTCTTTTTTGCTATTTTAAAAGGTTTCCAAACTGAAGCTTTTATGTTGGTAGCTAACTGCATCTGACAGCTGTAGGACGGTTTAAATGACGCACTGTTTCTCCATGCCATGTTTCCTCATACTAATTAGCCCATCTTATTACGTATGCTTTACTGGTGTGGTAATGATGAAGAAGGGCAATTATTGTGCATTGATACCTCTTTATTGGGAAAAGGCTGAACATTTCTTTGCTAAAATGATGATGTAACTATTGTTTTTACACCATACAGAGAACAGAAGTGTGAAGCAGTCAGCAGGTTCACCAGAGCCATGGATGATGGTGTGAAGGATTTGCTCAACGTGGGCCAGGAGCACTGGAAACGATGCACAGGACGTATGTTACTCTTAATTGATAACAGTTATGCAAGAATTTAATATTTGTAATTTTATGCTGGACAAATCTCTCTCCTGTGTGGCCCTGTAGGAAAAAATAGAAGTATTTAGAACAAATAGTACGGTGTTGGCATAAACGGTTAATCTACTTAGTTGTTATTTCAGTGTTTAGTAGATGGTGAATAAATACAGTAATTTACCTAAATATCTACCTTTATGCTTGAGTTCTTGGGTCTGCACACCTCCTGCGACCATTATGAGGGGTTCCTTCTCTACCAGTAGGATTTTTTAAATTAAATTTCTATTACTGTGAATGCAACAAGAGGAGCTGAAACAAGCAAAGGTGGACGGAACCACCAAAATCTTCCAGGTGTACAGTTAGGAATTTCGACAGGGAGATCTTTCTGTCAGAGAATGGAAGACATAAAAAATTGAGAGTCTGCCTCAGGCTCTACCTCTAAGTAAAACATTTTTGATAGACTGGCCTTTAAGTGTGCATACCTATACTAGAACTATAAAACCATTGGTGGCACTTGGGCAGTTGCTGCATACAACTTAGCAATTTGTTTTCTCCAGTGATGATGCTTTTCCTAATTGTAGCATAAGTGTATAGACTATGAACACTTCTCTGTTGATTTGCTAAAGGCAAATAGACTGTGCACTTTGCAAAGTTTTTTTTTTTCTCATTTCCTTGCATGTAAGTGGGTATTCTTTGCAAAGTGAAGCTTTACCTCAATTACTAAGCTCTAAATTAACCCTTATGATTCATAAAACTTTTATTTTGCAATCACTTATCACCAAAGGACTAGCTCATACAGCAGGATGATGTTACTCACAATGTGCCATGTACAGTGGGTTTAGAAAAGAATCAACCCCCCTTTAAAAGAATCACATTTTGTTGCTGTGCAGTCAGAAATGAAGACAGACACACTTTTTGTTTTATCTAGCTGTATTTACTCAGTGAAACTTAGACATCAAAATGAAAGATATAACACCAACATGTCAGAAAAAAAGTAAAAGAAAAAAAAAAAACAATCACTGAGTTGAAAAAAGGATCACTCCCTTGTGTCAGTATTTTGTTGAACCACCTTTTACTTTAACTGGTTCCCAACTGTGCTATGGCCGAAGGATGGCTACAGCGCGGTTGTGTAATCTTGGGATGACGTCCATGGACATCATTCCAGGACATGTCCCCAGCGGCACGCACCCAGCCCTGCCAGTGATCGCTGTGTCCTACGGACACAGTTGATCACGGGGTACGGTAATCGGCCAATCACGGCGGCCTTTTACCACGTGATCAGCTGTGTCCAATGACACAGCAATCACCGGGTAAATGCAGTTGCCGGTTATTGGCTGCACTTTGCTCACGCTGTGAAAGTATTGCCGAGAAGCGGCAATTGTCAGCAAAGGGATTGTCACTGATCATCAGGACAGTGATGATCAGTGCCCTGTTGATCAGTCCCCAGCAGTGCTGCCCATGTGTGCCCATCAGTGCCACCCACCTGTGCCCATCAGTGCCACTCAGCAGTGCCACCCACCTGTGCCTATCAGTGCTGCCTATCAGTGAAGCATCATCAGTGCTGCCTGTCAGTGCCCATCAGTGCTTCCTATCTGTGCCACCTCATCAGTGCCCATCACTGCTGCCTATCAGTGCAGCCTCATCAACGCACATCCGTGAAGTAGAAAAATTAACTGTTTGCAAAATGTTATCATAGATACAAAGAAAAACTTTTTTTCAAATTTTTTGCTCTTTTTTTGTTTATAACGCAAAAAATAAAACAAACAGTGGCAATTAAATTCCACTGAAAGAAAGCTCTATTTGTGTGAAAAGAATTATACAAATTTCATTTGGGTACAATGTTGCATGACCGCGCAATTGTCATTCAAAGTGCGACAGCACTGAAAGCTGAAAATTGGCCTGGGCAGGAAGGGGGTATAAGTGCCCGGTAGGCAAGTGGTTAATTACAGCCTTTAGTCTGCTGGGATATGTCTCTACTAACTTTGCACATCTAGACTTTGCAGTATTTGTCCACTCTTCTTTTCAGAACTGCTCAAGTTCAGTTAATCTTGATGGTGACCATTTGTGGACTCTAGTCTTAGTCATTCCACAGATTTTCAATGGGGTTTAAGACTGTGCTCTGACTAGGCCATGCAAGGACATTCACCTTTTTTCTCCTTCAACCACTGTGTGGTCATTTTTGCTGTGTGCTTTGGGTCATTGTCATATTGGAAGGTAAACCTTCTTCCCACTGACAACTTTCTGGCAGAGGGCAGCAGTTTTTCCTCAAGAATTTGATGGTATTTTGCCCCGTCCATTTTTCCTTCTATCCTGACAAGTGCTCCCGTCCCTGCTGCAGAGAAACACCCCCTATAACAGGATGTTACCACCTCCATGTTTTACTGTAGGAATGATATTATTTGGATGGTGAGCTGTTGTTGGATTTCTCCTAGACATATCATTTAGTGATAAAAGGCCAAATATTTAAATTTTAGTCTCATCTGACCATTACACTTTTTCCTATGTGGCCTTCTTCTTCAAGGTGCAAAGCTCAGTTGTGACTGCATATGACCTTTCTTGAGAAGTGGCTTCTTTCTTGCAACCCTCCCAAACAAGCCACATTTGTGGAGAATTTGTGATATTGTTGTCACATGTACACAAGGACCACTGTTTGTCATAAATTCCTTCAACTGCTTCCGAAGCGCTGTAGTCTCTTGGTAGCCTCTCTGACCAGTTTCCTCTTGGCTCTTTCCTCCAGTTTGGAGTGACGTCCTGATCCAAGGAGGGGGTCAGTGTTGTACCAGATACCTTCTACTTCTTAATAATAGACTTCCCTGTGTTCCGAGGCATTAATAAAGCCTTTGATTTTTTTGATTTTTTTTTTATCCATCTCCTGACTTGTGCCTCTCCACAACTTTATCCCGAAGGTCTTTTTGACAGTGCCTTGCCACCCATAGTTGATTGTTTGCTTCAGTTGCACTACTAAGGACTGAAAAGCTCCAGGAAAGCTCTTTTCATGTTGAGCTAATCAAAATGACCACGGCTGATTAGAGATGAAAGTCAAATGGCTTTGTGTGCCATTGAGAAGGGTCTTTTTTTTTGTTGTTTTTTTTTTTTATTTTTAGGAGGGGGGGTGATCCTTTGTCCAACTCAGTGATTCTGTTTTTCAATTTTTATAATTTTTTTCTGACATGTTGATGTTATATCATTCACTTGGATGTTATAAGTTGCACTGAGTAAATACAGCTAGATAAAACAAAAACTGTGTCTGTCTTCATTTCAGCTTGCAAAGCAACAGAATGTGATGATTTTAAAGAGGGGTGATTCTTTTCAATACCCACGGTACACTATCTTATATTACTTATACGATTGAGGGGTTGGCTACCACTAGTTTCTGTATTTTTAAAGCCCAGCTCTCACAAAAACTGTTTTGAGGGGATTTGGATAGAGTATGGATAAGATAAAGGTGTCAGACAGACAGGATGTGTTGGGAAATCTCTCCAAAAGGGAATGTGACAGTAGGTCCTAGTACAGCAGAGAAGGGTTAGAACAGATTTATATTGCTCTCTGACTTGATTTCTTGTCTTGGTTTTAAAGGGACAGAAGTGAGGTGGAAATCTTCACAATGGGGTCACCAACTGCAATAAAATTCTGACAAAAGTTAAACCCTGATCTACTACATTCAAGGCTAAAAAAAAAAAAAAAAAAAAATAAAATTATTTTGACTGGAGTTGATCTATCACTGCTCTCATCGGATTTTCTTGTCCAGCAAAAAACAAGTTAACAGTTCTTATTATAATCTAGAAGCATCATGTGCAGGTCCATACATTTGTCATCCTAACCAACTCTTGTTTCTACAAAAAAGATTACCCTGACTATTTCCATTTTCTAGGCTCCTTCATGAACCTACAACCATTAGTTACAACAATGGCAATATTTAAAGACGAACTCCAGGAATGAGGTTAGGATAAATACTCACTTTTGGGCCAGCTTGGCTCAAGATAATTATCAAGATGCCACTTCCATGTGGTAGGAGGTGAATCTGTAAATTCAATTTTTAGCCTATGCTACAGTAATCGGTGTCTTCTTCTGGGGTGTGCTCCAGGGATTTCCCCTTTTGTGTGCTAAATACAGAAGTGCTCGCTCTTGCTCCTCCACCAATTATAAGGACCCTTGTATTTTTTTAAATGAATACAAGGCATTCTCTGATTAGCCGAAGTTGAGAAGAGGGACAGATAACATAATTATCTCTGCTTCGGCCATTTAGAGGCGTATTCAGTGAATAAAGTAGAAGTCTTCTCCTGAGTGGTGAAATTGCGGAAGCGAGCAACTTTTTGTGTTTAGTGCACAGAGGGGAAGTCGCTGGACTACCCAACAGAAGAGGACACCACTTACTGTATTGGGCTACAACAGTGAATTACAGATTTGCCATCAACCACACGGAGGTGGCATCTGAATAATTGTTTTGAGTCCAGCTGGCCCAAGGTGAGTTTTTCACCTAATCCCATTGCTGGAGTTCAGCCCTAAAGCCTAGCTCAAGGCTCCTTCTGGCTTTAAATAGTTGGTCCAAACAAACGGTTTCCTTCACTAACAGATGCACTTACTGAGAGTGCCATCTAAACTGTAGTCAGCATCAGCTATATCCAGTATAAGGTGCTGTGTTCTGGCAGCAGGATGGGGACTTCCGTCCTGCTCCAAGAACAAAATGAAGTCAGACTTAGCACTGCTCAACCATTAACTGGAAGCTTTGTATTTCATCAATGAGGCTTCCTCCAACTGGCTGAGGAGAGGATTGTGATGTCATCTGCCCGCCTCTCCAGCTCAGCCAATCAGAGAAAGCCCTGTATTCATTGATGAAATACAAGGCTACCTGTGAATGGCTGAGCAGTGTTCAGTTCAGTCCAACTCGATTTTATTCTAGGAGCTGGTTGGGCAGTCCCCATCCTGCTACCGGAACACAGCAGTATATACTGTATGTAACTGATGCCATCTTTTGATTCACAATAGCACTTTGCTCTAGTTAGCTTTGTGTTGTGATATAGGGTTTTTTAATGGAGATGAATAATCAATAATAAAATAAAGTTTAATTTTGGTTATTTTTTTCTAAATAGCACTACCAAAGGAATATCAGAAGATAGGAAAAGCTTTGCAGAATTTGTCAATGGTTTTCAGTTCCAGTGGCTATCAAGGTACCCCTTTTTCTAGTAATGCATGTCTTTAGTGTTTGTTGTACAGTATACACTCACTGGCTTCTTTATTAGGTACCTGTTCAATTGTTTGGTAACACAAATTGCTAATCAGCCAATCGCGTGGCAGCAATTTAATGCATTTAGGCATCTAGATGTGGTGAAGACAACTTGCTGAAGTTCAGACCGAGCATCAGAAAAGGGAAGAAAGGGGATTTAAGTGACTCTGCATGTGGCATGGTTGTTGGTGCCAGACAGGCTGGTCTGAGTATTTCAGAAATTGCTGATCTACTGGAATTTTTACACACAACCATCTCATACAGAGATTGGTCTGAAAAAGAGAAAATATCCAGTGAGCTGCAGTTGTGTGGACTAAAATACCTTGTTGATGTCAGAGGTCAGAGGAGAATGGGCAGACAGGTTCAAGATGATAGAAAGGCAATAAAAACTCAAGTTAATATGGAGCAAAATCCCTGAGGAATGTTTCCAACACCTTGTTGAATCTATGCCATGACGAATTAAGGCAGTTCTGAAGCCAAATGGGGATCCAACCTGGTACTAGCAAGGTGTACCTAATAAAGTGGCCGGTGAGTGTATGTGAATGCTTTTCATACTTGGGTTTAGTTGGACTGCACTTTTCTTGTATTTGGAATGTTGTCAGCTACGTTGGTGGGAACTGATTTGCATATCTAGAACATTTTTCCATAAACATAAGCAATCTTTTTACAGATATTTTTTGTTTTATAGGTGAAACGGATTTAAACAGTGCTATCACAGAAGCAGGGAAAACATATGAAGCAATAGCCACCTTGGTGGAAGAGCAGGTAAAACCAGACCTCCTACAGTATTTATCTGCAGGGTACATAATGCAGAATCAGCAGTTTATGGAATAGAAATAATTTTTATTTGAAATGTTATCTGGATTGGAATCTGGAATGTAAGCCTTTTATTTCATTTGAGTTTTTATATGCTTTTCATTCCCTTATCAGCACTAGTCAAACATCAAACACAGAATAAAATATGCATGATTCTATAAAGAGGTAACTCTTCTCCTCACACACTGACTAATATATCTGTCATTCCTATCTTTGCTGTAAACCTCAGGTGTGCACTCTGTCCCCCTATCCCATATCTACCATGCATTTATATCTGTTTTGCATTATGAAATTCACAAATCCACGGTCAACTAACGTGGATCACCAGTTTTGACTGGACTACAGAAGATTTTACCATCTGCCAGCTTTAATAGAATTTGATTGTACCTTTTGAGAAAAAAAATAATTTAATCTCATACCTTTACACTGGCTAGAGCAATTTTTACATTTCTGCCTATTAATTCGGCAATGACTTTGTTATTACTGGAGATACAACTAACAAAGTTATATATATATATATATATATATATATATATAGATATATATATAGATAGATATATATATTTTTTTTTTTTTTTTTTTTTTTTAAAAACAAACAAAACTTTCTTTGGGTGATATTAACTTGCAAATCCATACGCAGTCCATAAAAAAAAAAACACATTTAATAATCCTCTTTTTTCTATGTAGATCAGTGTTACTGTAGATAAAAAATGTATAAATGTTATCCTATCAACTGTCCCATATAAAGACACTGAAATTACAATTCTAGTACAAAGCATTGAAAAGTTATTTACAAATGAAATTTTTTTTTCTAATTTTAACTTTCGTTCATGATTTCATTATTTATTATTGTGATGCTGTGATTGGTCACAGGGATGTCATTGTGTACAGGGCCAATCACAACACCCCTTTACCATGCGATAACTGTGGTCAAACATAGCATCACAATCGTAAACAATGAAAGCCATTCATGACAATTAAAGGACTGCTGTTACAGTGATCATCACTGAAGCAAGCAATCACACTGTAATAAATTAAAAAAAAAAAACCCAGATCACTTCCCCAGAGTAGTACAGTGTCAATATGGTGTCCTTTGTTCCTTATAACCACCACACCAGTGCAGTGTTCCTTCTGCCTTTTGCCTTTATTAACCTTGGCCTGTTTTTTGACCAAATTTCCACCTGTTGCCTGGACCAATCCTTTGCCTGTTTGCTGATTATGTCTGTGTCTGCACCTGAACTGTCCCATCTGCACATCCCACTGACTACGTTCCTGCAAGACACCAGTCCCAGCCATCCCCTGCAGATAACTGCACTTCCTGGAAACTCTTTTGTTCTTCCTTTTTATAGCCTCCTGTACTTCCTGACCAGTGAACATAACATTCCTAGGGGGCAGCCTCATACCAGTAGGCAAGGTTTGCTTGGCTTATAGGAACAAGGACTGCTATAGGTGATGCTACACTAAGCTATATTTTCTGACCACTCCTATAGAGACGATCATTACAGTACAATGGTTTTGATACAATTGATTGATTTGTGTGATACATAAGATACAATGTTTGGTATATAATCAGTCCAAATATTAAAAAAGCTTCACACAGGTGGTATTTCCACACTCAGAAGCAGTAGAAGAATGTATTTTGATTTGTAATTCTAGGTATGCCTATGCTGTGTGTGAGAAATATTAAATTATTACATTTGAAATTTCATTTTCATTCCATATTTTCCAAAAAATTGTGGCAAAAAAATGAAGTCTTCAAAAGATTATTAGAAAATACTTTAGGGTGTTTGCTTTCCAAAATTTGCTCATTTTGTGGGTGTTGTTCCTTTCTCTTGGTGCTCCAGGGCCTCCAAAATTGTGATAGGTAGTCAAGAAATTTGATGCTAATTTATGCCCCTAGAAAGCCTGAAGGTGCTCCTTGGATTTTGGTCTGCTCTGTGTTGCTAGGCTGTGAAAAAAGTCTCATATTTTGGTCTCCCCATACTCTGGAGGAGTAACAAAATGTGTTATGGGTGTGTTATCATTTTCCTTTTATTTCCTGCATTTTCCAAAAACTTGTGGCAAAATGGCATTTTCAAAAGACTCATTATGCCTCTTAGAAAATACCTTGGATTGTTTTTTTCTAAAATGGGGTCATTTTGTGATTGTTTCCACTTTCTTGGTACTCCAGGGCCACCAAAATGTGAAGGTAGTCAGGGAATTAGACGTTTAATTTCTGCACAATTTATGCTCCTTGAAAGTCCAAAGGTGCTCCTTAGATTTCCCCTCTCTGCATCTAAGCTGTAAAAAAAAGTCCCACGCATGTGGTATCCCCATACTCAGGAGGCATAGCAGATGGTGCTTTGTGGTGTAATTGCAAGTATGCCTACACTATTTGTGAGGCAAAACTTGTTAAAATGACAAATTTTTGAAAAAAAAAACTTTTATTTAATTTCCTAAATCTCCAAAAAAATTAAAATTTCAAAAAAACTCACCATGCATCTTACTAAACACCTTGGACTGTCTACTTTCCAAGGAGGGGTTATTTGAGGGTGTTCATACTGTCTTGCATTTAGGGCCTCAAGAAATGAGACAGGCAGTCAGTGCATTGGGATTGATCCATTTTAAAATCTATATACCATAGTTTTTAGGCTTTATAACTTTTACACAGACTAAATATTATACACTGATGTGGGTTATTTTTACCAAAAGAATGTAGCAGAATACAATTTGGCCTAAATTTATGAAGAACAATTTTTTTATATTATTTTATAACAGAAACTAAGAAAAATTTGCTTTATTTAAAAATGTTCAGTATTTTTCATTAATATAGCAAAAATAAAAAACCCAGTGGTGATTAAATACCACCAAAAGAAAAAGCCCCATCTGTCCACCAAAAAAATTATAAAAATGATACAAATTTAATTTGGGTCCAGTGCTGCATGCACGAATTGTCATTCAAAGTACTCAAAGCTGAATATTGGTCTGGACATGAAGGGGGTGAATGTATCCAGTATTGAAGTGACTAATGGTTGGAAAAATATAAACAAAAAATAATAATTAGGAAAATAACAATTAAGGGTTTAGGAAGTGTTAAAGAGTAGGTACAAAAATAACAATGTTACTTTGTATGTCTCTAATTTGTGTGTGAACAGTGCATATAAACCATGTGTTAGCTAATCCATTAGTTTGTCAGAAATGGCTTCTAGAGCTACTGTATTTGCACAACAAACTCTGGCTGTCATTTGGGAATCACTGACAAGTGCAGAGGGGCAGAAGGACAGGATACACTACAGAAGTCCTGCATACTTTGATTAGGTTTTTTGGATGTGTCCTGGGATGTACATCTGGTTAAATGAACTGCACAGTGCATGAGTGTACATATTTTCTTCATTTATTATGGTCAGGACCAGGGGCGGATAGACAACTCATGGGGCCCCCGGGCAATAGGGGATCATGGGGCCCCTGTGTTCTTGCCCAAACTCAAAAAAGCCTATGAAAAAGGTACCAGGGACATCTTGTGGGGCCCCCTACTGACCCCGGCCCTCGGGCAGTGCCCGAGTTTCCAAATGGTCAGTCCGCCCCTGGTCAGGACCAAAATTATTTTTGTCAGGTAGATATAAAGTATTGAAAGTGAACATTTTGCATGATCCTTTTAACGTAGCAGCTAGAGCATGAGGTTCGTTTTCATATGTTTTCTCTATCGCTTTAGTGACTGTTGTAAAAAGCCCATTTGTTTACAAAGTTCAGTAGCTCAAGCTGAGATTTTTACACACGCATGAATTAGTCCCTGTCCAAGGTTCCCATGAGAGGCAACCTGTCTGAAATGTGCCAACTGCTGTTGTACTCTTTATTGAAGAAAACAATACTTTGAGATACTTTGTCTGGTATTAAATGCTATATGTACAATATATTATAGAAAAAAATGGGGGGAAAATTAGTTAAAGAACTTATAAACTTATAAAAAAAACTAAGAAAATAAAATTAACTCAAAATCATTACAGCTTTCCTTGTAAAGACATTTACTCATAAAGTCTACTGATAGGCAGACCACAAGCATGCATCTCTACCTGCAACTATTAATCTGCGTGTGATCAAGATATTCTTTATGTCCAGCAAACAAATATTATTAGTACGTCTATAGACCATAAAAAGTCCATAATATAGTGTATTCTATAACTGATCATAGCCATAGTCTTCAAGCAGCAAGTTGATAACTGGGGTATTGCAAAACTTCATTAAAAAAAAAACAGTTCATTCAATTGAAAATCATGAATGGTATAAAACAATAGAACATAACATAGACTCTTTACCAGAAAAGAAGCATATTTATTTTTTTCACTTAGATTGCAGAACACAAATATACTGTACATATCTGGATAGGATCTCATACATATCCAGAGTAACTTTTGCCAGCATACATTTGCCAGGTGCAGCATCATCCACATGACTACACATTTCACCCTAACTTGGGTCTTTTTTGAGTCATAAGCAAACAGATTCAATCACCTTATAACAGCAGTGGAAATTCCAGATAGGTCTGTTTCCTGAATTTTTTTTTTCTTTTTATGTCAGAATGTAGGATTATTCTGGTAATATCATGGGCTTTATTGTGCATGCACATGCTCCAGTATAGGGATATGTACATTTATGTGCCATTACTTAGAATATGAAGAGGTGCCTGGACTTGTAAATTGTTTCCCAGTTAGTAACTGCTTGCTTAGGCTAGGCACTTAAACCCTGCTTTACCATGAACACAGAATAGTGATTACCCATAACGCATTCTGCATCCCTGTGTAGTAATTGTGGTAAAACCAATTAAAACCATCTAACCATAATTCTTCTCATCACAAAGTCATAGTCTTTCCAATCCTGGAAAGATCATAGCTAGTGGATTACATTATATAGACTCTTGTACCAAACAAAACACATGCTCAAAGCAGAAAATGCCTGACTCGTGTACCATATACTAGATCAGGGGTCTCCAAACTTTTTAAATGAAGGGCCAATTTACAGTTGTTCAAACTTTAGGGGGGCCGGACTATGGCCAGAGGGAGTAGAAATTTGTCCTGGCATTAGTGAGAGTAAATTATGTTCCATTTTTAGTTGTAGGGGGGAGTAGTAGTGCCCCATCTTTGGCATCAGTTCAATGAATAGTGCACAATCAATGGTGTCAATGGTAGGTCTAGTGGCCCATCATTGGTATCAGTGGGAGGATAGTGCACCATCTTTGGTATCAGTGGGAGGAATAGTGCCCCATCATTGGTGTCAGTGTAGTGCACCTTATTTGGTGGGTGGAGAAATAGTGCCCCATCGTTGTTATCAGTGGAAGGAATAGTGCACCATCATTGGTATCAGTGGAGGGAATAGTGCCCCATTATTGGTGTTTGTGGGGGAATAGTGCCCCATTATTGGTTTCAGTGGGAGGAATAGTGCCCCATTATTGGTTTCAGTGGGAGGCATAGTGCCCCATTATTGGTGTCAGTGGGAGGAATAGTGCCCCGTTATTGGTGTCAGTGGGAGTAGTGCCCCGTTATCGTGTCAGTGGAGGAATAGTGCCCCATTATTGGTGTCAGTGGGAGGAATAGTGCCCCATTTTGGTGTCAGTGGTAGGAATAGTGCCCCATTATTGGTGTCAGTGGAAGGAATAGTGACTCATATCATTGGTGCCTGAAGGGCCAGATAAAAGTAAGCAAAGGGCCACATCTGGTCCTCCAGGCCGCAGTTTGGAGACCACTGTACTAGATCACGAAAAAAGCTAAATCTGCAATGTTAGTCACTGTTGAGGAAATCTACATGAGATACATGGATACATCCATCAAAGACTAACCACATTGGGGTTCTGCCTTGTAAAAGATGACACCATCAAAACCTGCATGCTATATTTCAGCTCCTTCTCCTTGCCGTTGCTGCATACTGAAAGATGTAATTGAGCATACAGCAGTTAGTACTTCTGCCTTGCCACACTGGGGTCCTCGGTTCAAGTCCTAGTCAGGATGCTACTTTGCACGTTCTCCATATAGTTGCATCAGTTTACTTGCACACTCGAAAGACATGCTGGTAGATTAATTGGCTCTTGTCTAAAATTGAGGCCTATTATGATATTCTACTGAGCATGCCAAAGATGGCTGCCTCACTATTTGCCCCAACAACAGATGAAGTGCTTTGAGTCCTCAAAGAGAAAAATGCTATAGAAATATAAATTAATAATAATACACTGAAAGTTTAAATTGGTGTCTTATGTGTCATTCGTACTACAGTCATATTTTCTATGCCTTAGCAGATTCGTAGTCACTTTATAGCTATGTTTTATTTGTCTTCTTTCTGTTTTGCCACTGGCACTTCATACAAATAAGAGGTAAGAAACATTATAGCGTTTTGATATCATACCTGATATAAAATGGTAAGTCCACCCAAGACTGATATATGTGGATGGTGGCAGGTTGAGTCAGGAACTTTAGCAGACAGTTTTCTACATTTGACATCCAAACAGCCGTTATGATCTATTGTCAAGTTTTGATGCTGGATTTTGCTTTAATTTTGTTACAGGAGGAGTGAGGCTTTTTTTTATCGTCTTTTGTAATGCTGTTGTAGGAGAAAAGGGGAAGGCTGCAGATTTCAGTACATAGGCTTCCACACCAAAACTGAAATCACATTGTTAAGCCAGCCATACATGGATCGAAATTCGGCAAGTTCAGCAGGGACTTGCCGAATTTCCATCCATGTATGGGTACTGAGGTTGTACAGAAGTTGACCAACATATGTACGACCGCTCTGTTGGAATTTCCCTGCTCAAAGTCTCTCTGGTGTCAGAATACGATAGCTCAGCTGGGAGGATTCCCCTATCCACATCGAGTGTGTCGATGGGGGAAACAAGTTAGTTTTTTTCATTCAACCAGCTGGTCGAGAAAAAAGACACAGCTGGTCGAGAAAAGCCTTAGAGAGAGTGATTAATTCATTGAATTAGGGCTCTTTCACACAGGTGGCTGGGGTGGGTGGTAAAAACAGGTGGCTAAACAGTTTAACTGTCCCTCTCCCAGCGGCCAACCTCAATTCTAACATTACAGCCAGACAGGGCTGTACTCATGCTGCAGCTGCGATGCTTTGCTTCGTGGCTACAGTATTTTTTACTCAGCCTGCAGAGTTTTACAGGTGGCACCACTTGGCCATTGAGGTTAATGAGAGCATTTGTTTGGTTTGTAGTTGCTGAGCAGTATTGTAGTACAAATTCCACTTACCATTAAAAAAAAAAAAAAACGATGTTCAGGAGGCCACAGGATCGCCTCCTGAACGCCTGCCAGCTGCTGCTAAACGCGATCCAGCATGAATTGCTTTTCAAAGGGTGGTAAGAACTGCCGTCTATATGAAAGAGTCCTTAGAATAATCATTATTCGACGTTGTGACTTTTATTTTCAGCAGTGAAATTGTTAAAATGGAAAATAACAGTCATATATGTAATAACATGCACTTTATTGAGCCTGAGGTCTTTGAAAGTGGCTACTGCCATTGTACATTTGCAGATAAAAGTAATAGTTTTTCTTTAAGATATGAGCAAAGGTTTTTGAAGAGGTAATTATTATATTGAAAGTCCATCTGTTTGTGTATAAATCTGCAACAGTAGCTTTTCCTTTAGAAGAAAATAATGTATATTCTCTTGAAGTGGTTGGTGTTTTTAACCTAAAAAGTGCTTAGCGTTGTGTATAGTTTGTATGGATGTACAGACAGTGTACATGATAATCATTTTATAATCATAATATAGCTGATAAGTTCCATTTTCTAAATTGCAGTTTTTTGTTTTTTTTTTGTTTTTCAGCCAAAGAAAGATCTCCATTACCTGATGGAAACCAATCACGAGTACAAAGGCTTTCTGAGCTGCTTTCCAGACATTATTTCTGCTCACAAGGTGCCTTTTGAAGTCTTTCTGTGTTTTTGGAAATGTGAAACATACTGAGCTTTATGTGTTATGTCTATTTAAGGCTGAGATAAATCCATATGTTCTGGATGAGCTACTCTTTTCATTAAAGTGGTAGTGAACTCTAGTAAAAAAAAAAAAAAAAAAAAGTTTCTCCCTGCTTGACAAAGGCATAATGTGCTAGTAAGCATCACATACTAGCACATTATGTGAAACACACCTTAAAAGAAAGCCCTCTGGTGTGCTGTTACCGCTGACAGGGCTTCCATCTTCACTTGGTCCTTCTTCTGGATTTGTGGGCTCCAGCGGCTTGAATGGCTGAGCTGTGATGATGTCACTTTCACGCATGTGCGCAGTAGTCACTTTTTACAACACACAGCTCTGAAGGCACAGGCATGCCATACCTTCAGAGCACATGCGCCGGTGCTCTACACGGGTAGATATCTCCTAAACAGTGAAAATTATAAATATAACTCAAGCGCTTACCATAGTGAATACAAAATTTAAATTAATAAAATAGGTATAACATAAAATGGGGAGGAACGTGCGGATGACGTCACGACGTTACCATTCATTGAAACAGCAGTATAGTAATCTACACACCGCTCCAGGATCATCCTTATTGTAAGGCAATTGCATTTACACACAGGGCCTGTGCTTTGCCTTGCATTATACACTGCGTGGTGACGTTTTGGAGCCTGGACTGGTCTATGCTGCTGGGGATGATATTGCCATGTGCCTAAAGAAGTCCATTACTGGATGGTCATCATACCTGGTGCGGTTATGCACCTGCTGAATGTGAGTGTATTTCTTATGGTTTATTGTGCAATAAAAGTTTTTAAAGGATAAAGCACAATGTTGAGCTTTTGTTTGAGGAATACAGCTGACCCTTAGGCGGGCATCTGGAGGGGACATCACTGGAGATATTATTCAGCAAGTTGACCTTCAGAGTCCATACGTTTGGGACCAAAAGTGCAGTTAGACCAAAACATTGTACAATGTGAGGTCACACTGCTGGAGGTGAGCAGATTTATGGTGGAGGATAGTTTGCTGTATAATCCTGTGACAGTTGCACACGGTGGTCGTTATCTCAAGAAGGGCTCACAGAAGAATGCTTAATTGATTGAACGTTGGTTCATATAAATTTTTCTTTAAGTAGTATGTTTTTTTTTAGTCACATTATCTCTGTTCTTTTGAGTTTACTGTCCTGAGTTTTTTGTTTTTAGTTATATTTTATAGGAATTGTGCATTTTTGTATATGTAGCGCGACACTTTTTTTCACTTACATTATCGGTGCCGTTTAGGAGATATTTACAGTACCTACAGGTAAGCCTTATTATATGCTTACCTGTAGGTACAAGTTAAAAAACAGACTTTACTGCCGCTTTAAAGACTGGGAAAACAAAACACAAAAGTTTTTTATTTACTAAAGGCAAATAGGCTGTTCAGTTTGCAAGGGAGTTCTCAATTGGCTTAGTGAATGAGATGAAGCTCTGCTGATTTCCATCAAGTCATCTACAAGCAAGAATACGGTTTATTTTTTTTATACACATGATTGGGTATTCTTTGCAAGATGAAGCTAAGCGAAAATTCCTTTGCAAAGTGAAACTATTCTTGCAAAGTGAAGAGTCTGTTTGCCTTTAGGAAACCAGCGACTGTATGTAAAAAAAAAAAAAAAAAATACACTCTATATAGGATAATGTTCTATTTGGACACTTTATTGTGACCATGGACTATTACTGAGATGGAGCATCTTTTGGCTTCTATAACAGCAAGTGCAAACATGGATCCACAGGCTGCTGAAAATGGCCTAGTTCTGCAGTAAGACTGTCCTTAATTATAAAAAGATAGAAATGGATTTTAAACTATACCTATCCCAAAAGATTTGCGTGATCTTTATTGACCTCCTTCTTCAACTGCTGGTTGCCTGACAGTCTCTAAGTCATAGACCTAGGACAAGTATGTATCAAGTGAAGTTGGCAAAATGAGATGAGCAATGTCAATCCCCTGCATTTTACTACTGACCTCAACCCTCAACCCTGCAAAACAGGTTATCTCAATTCTGAAAGGTGGACAGCCGTCCTGACAAATTTTTGCCTAAGGCCTCTAATTAATGAATGCACTGATGGCCTTTCACTCTAAAGGACCAGTATTGACTATATGGGAGAGGATGGACTGGAGCTTGACTTTCTCCTTTAAAGTTGAGACATGCATGAGTAAGAACTCCGGGATACAGAAACCACTTTATAGGGATACATACAGGCACCTGTAGGTTCCTGCTTTCAGCTCCTAATTTTGACGCTTTTAATAAGTTTAAAAAAAACATAAAGTAAATATATTTACAAAAGTTTTCAGTCTACTTTCAACCATAAGAAACATTTTTTTCAATCCAGATTTCTCTTTAGGTTGCGGCCTCTAACAATAAAAAGTGTTGCAAACAATAATACTAACCAATGTTTCACAACTATATAGCCTGTAAATTATATCCATTTATTAAATAAAATATAAAATTTCCTCTGTCATTAGAAAGGCATTCTTTTATAATGGTTTGGTGAAATAAGTCCTAAAGTACTCCTCCACATTATTGTGCATTTTCCAAGCTATCTCTATAAATAGAGTAACATCCTTTAAATGAATCTGGGATGGTAGGCAGCAGAAAATAGAATATAAAGGTCTGATTCACAACATGAACCATCATCATAGGTTGGTTTGTGCCGTTGAGCACTTAAAAAAATATTAACATTTAGCTGGTTGAATAAAGAAGATAAACTGTGGATATCGGGAGAGCAGTTCAGTAACACCTATTGCCTAACCACAGGTTGTTCCAGCAAAGCAGTCCAAATACCAATCACGATTTTATTGAACACTAAACTTGCTGAAATGCAAATGTTAAGAAATTCTCAACACATGGTGTCACATGCTGTGTTGAAATAATCTGACTTTAATCATAGTACAATAAGTCAACTTAAATAAGTACATTAATTGTAAAGGTTTAACCAGTTCCTGACCACGCTATAACCAAAAGACGGCTACAGCGCGGTCGGCTAGTTCCATGAACGTCCTCCCAGAACCACACCCCTCGCACGCCACCTGGGACTGATCACATGACTAAGGAACGGGCCAATTACAGCCGCTTTTACCATGTGACCAGCTGTGTTCAGTCACATCATTAAAGGATAAAAATTACTTATTTACAAAACTTTATAATAGAAACTAAGAAAATGTTTATTTTTTTAGTTTGTTTAGCAAAAAATAAAAACCCCAGTGGTGATTAAATACCACCAAAAAAATCTCTATTTTTTTTTTAAAAAAATGATATAAATTTAGTTTGGGTACAGTGTTGCATGATCGCGCAATTATCATTCAAATTATGAGAGCTCTGAAAGCTGAAAATTGGTTTGGCCAGGAAGACGGTAAAAGTGCCTGGTAGGCAAGTGGTTAAAGCCAAAACTCTAGCTAAAAAGAAAAAGATAAAATGAATAGCCTATTAAAAGATAAAGTAACCAAGCCAGATTTTGCTGCAATATCCACTTTTAATACCGAGATTTCTTCGCAGTACTTTTTTATGCCTCTAGAATTCCTCAGTCTGAAGGCTAGCATCATTTAAACCCACTTCCTCTGAGCCCATGTCATCCTGGACCCACCCCCAGCAGTGATAAGACAGTGAATGGAGAAGAAACACAGTGATGAGCTTGATTCTTGTTAGCACATAAACTGATTGGCTTGTTGTTCTGCTTCTTTCTTTTCTGCTCCAGCCATGCTGTACAGGGACTGGAAAAGAGTGATACCAGGCCAAATTTAGGTTCCTTCACCGCTTGTATTTAAAAAATAAGTTTAATGTTTATTTAATGATTACATAGCTGCTAAATTAAAGGGGACCCCTTCATCAGGTCATTCTTTTAATGAGGTCTGTTAAAGTAAGATGAGAGATAAAGTGTTAGCATCTATTATGGCAAGAGTTTTCATGATTTTAGTGTCCCTAAAGTTTTTCTTTGAAAGAAATATTTTTGTAAGAGTTTCAGTACTGTGCATTGTAATAAAAAGAAATTCTACTTGCTGCACCTTTGGCGTGGTTTCCAGTAAAGTGTTTTATCACACTACTCAAAAATTAAAGTAACACTTTTTAATCAGAGTTTAGCATCAAGTCAATTAAACTCCTGGGATATTGAACTGGTCAGTTAAGTAGCAGAGGGGGTTGTTAATCAGTTTCAGCTGCTTTGGTGTTAATGAAATTAACAAGAGGTGCACCAGATGGGCAACAACAGCAAAACAGGACTGGTTTTACAGGTGGAGGCCACTGACATTTTTTCCCTACTCATCTTTTCTGACTTTTTTTCACTAGTTTTGCATTTGGCTAGGGTCAGTGTCACTACTGGTAGCATGAGGCTATACCTGGACCCTACAGAGGTTGCACAGGCAGTCCAACTCCTCCAGAATGGCACATCAATATGTACCATTGCCAGAAGGTTTGCTCTGTCTCCCAACACAGTCTCAAGAACATGGAGGAGATTTGAGGCAACAGGTATTTGCTCTAGGAGAGCTGGACAGGGTCGTAGAAGGTCCTTAACCCATCAGCAGGTCCAGTATCTGATCCTTTGTGCAAGGAGAAACAGGATGAGCACTGCCAGAGCCCTACAAAATGACCTCCAGCAGGCCACGGTTGTGAATGTCTCTGACTAGAGATGAGCGAATCGAACATGACGAAGTGGAATTCGTTCCGAAGATTTGGAAAAATTCTATTCGCGACGAATCCGAAGATTAGCAAACTTCGGATGCACGAATCGAATTTTCCCAAAAATGGCGGCGACATGTGTGGCGACGGAGAAAATGGACAGAGAAGATGGGGCGGGGATCTCTGGGAAGGCGCGCAGACAAGGCGCGCTGACCCATAATGCATTCATGACATGTGATCGCATTAGCCAATCAGCAGCCAGCCAGCACTGTGTAATGGTGGAGCTATAAATCGCGGCCATCTTAGAATTCTCCGTTAG